GCTATTGCCTCCACCTCGATGTCAAATTCAAAGTCCAGTCAACCACAAATGTACCTCTGTTAGGATATTGTTTAATGGTATAAACAATCGTGGCTTCGAGCGCATTGATTGAGCTGTAACAAAGTCACACTGCAACGATTATGCGGACGTGATGAATAGGGACACGAGCGACCAATCAGTTTCATTCAATGACCTGTTTTATTTTTTGTCGGTCCAAAGTGTAGACGACGACATCTATTTGGATGGTGGTGTGGTTCAGTGACAGCCGGTGCTGGTCACGTGATAGCGGAGTTGTGAGTACCAATTCACCCTTGTAAGGGACAAAGCAAGCTCTTAAAGTCTCTGCAACATTGAAAATATATCTCCCTAATTTGTTTTCATTGAATACATCTCCAAGGGTGTGGTTGAATGTTGAGGGGGAACCTCGACATACAAAATTCTGCGGCTGTACACCCAGATAAAAAAAATAAATTTAGCGACTGTATAGTATGAAACCTACGAATAAGAAAGACGAGCTGATAACCTTAGTGGTAGTACGGTGGCTTTGAATTTGACATCGAGGTGGAGGCAATAGCGGAGATCACTGAAACCAGTATCATGCCGACAACAGTACATATCACACAACAACAGCAGCAGGATACATTGCAGTCTCTCTGGGTCGATACAGTTCGTTTCGGTGGCCCAAGAGCAGTACGAATGGCAGCGTTACTGTTGTTGGCTACGTTCGTTGGCATGTTGGTTTCTAGTTTGGTGCTAGGCTGTTCCCGATTGCTCGCATTTCCTGCGACTTCTGCTGGAACTGTGACGGTATTCTCGGAGTTGATGGTTGTCGAGCTTGGGAGAGCAGAGGGAAGTGCGGCTTCAGCATATGGAGGTGGCTCTGAAAGGATAGTTTGACTCCTTCCCATCTGATCCCTTTGAATGAGAGCAGGAGGGGGGTATGAAGGGGTGCTAGACTCTCCCTCTACATCGTTGGTGCGTTCAGGGACAATACCACGCTCAAGGTCAACATCATTCGAATTCAGAGTCTATAATATTTAACGCTTCAGCCAGGGAACTAGGGTTATTCACGAGCTCTACTCTTACCAATGTCCCTACAGTAGACTGCTTGATATCGATACCATTGCTTGATCGCTTGTCAATCATAACCTAGAGCCCAAAGTTGTCGCAACGAATGAATGTTATCCTAGGTGGGGAATAGGCGTATTGGAGTACAAAGGGAAAGAGGGTGATAGGAGCGAGGATAAGTACCCACTTCTCGGTTTCAAGGTGGCTTAAATACGACCGGATTTACAACCGCTTCTGACCCCGGAATTGATGGTTTCACTTTTAGCGCTAAAAATGAGCCATATGCTCGCAAGAGGAGACGGTCATCCCTTTTCCCATAGGAATCTGAGTTCATTTTCCCAAACGCGACGATCCTCTAAAAGTTTGAAAAACAACAACTGTGTCTGAAGTACACAAGTATGATTTATATTGGTTATGTATACCCTTCCTAGATTACGCCGAGCGCTTGTCGTCGACAAATGGGCGGGTTGATCGAGCAGACGGCCCGGGGATTTTGCGAGAAAAAGTTATGATTGGTCGTATCTTTTGTATATCAGTTCGTCAAGTCAAGGCGGAGCCTGTTGACAATTCCGGAGCTGACGGTTCAGAGTGGTAGAGTTCAACAGGCAAGGCAAGCTACTGTCCGCAGGCACCAAGTACTCATCTTGGAAATGCTTGGTTTGGAGCCCCCAGACACTTTCCTTCCAGAACCAGGCACGTTTGTTGTTATCTTCTGGATCGTAATAAGGAGTTACCGCTCGAGCCTATAGAGATGGGACGGGCATATAGGTCACGACTCCGATTTTCTATACCTTTGGCCAGCTTTATAAGGATATACCGCACTTCTTTTCAACCTCATTAATTAGCTGCTATGAGCTATAAAAGACAACTGATCATACGATTATTACCTCCTAAAGACCCAAAAACGTTATTTCCCCACTCCGTTCTACCCTCTCCTCCAGGATTTCTATCAGCATCCAAGCACCAGATTATCAATATCACCACTAGTATTCTTGGTTTTGGGCAGCACCTTCATCAAAAGCAACAAAGGGAGAGACAGGTTAGGCGCAAGGCAGCATGCATGACTCGTACGGGGCCTTGATATGGATCACTGGGCCACTTACATGCACGTCCGGGATCGCTGTATATTGTCTCGGAATGAGGTATATACGGAAACGTTACCCACCACAAGTCCTCCCACCTGTGACCGAGGACGAAGACGATTTAACCGAGTATGATTGGGTGGAAATGAAAAGAGCAGCCAAAAAGAAACCTGTCCTGTATGAAATCTGGATAGACATCCAAAATAGAGTGATGAGTGAAGACGCTACGGCACAAGTTGGAAGTAGAGGGGCGAGGAGTGGCAAGGGTGGTTGGGTAATCCCCCTCGTGAGTCCTGTCACATTTAGTTCCTAGTAATAAGCTAATAATAATTTCATATTATCTAGCCTTTGGCATATATCCCAGACCCCTCACGATTGGACATTCTGATCCGGATGCCAACACAACTGCCACAGCCATCAACTACACCATTAGACTCTAATGAAATCGAGCCAGTATCACATTTACTTCCGGAGATCCTCGTAGCAACACGAAGTTTGGGCCGAGGAGATTGACCGAGAGAGGAAGGCAGCCCTGTCATACCCCCAGCAGTACGGTGTCACCTCTCAGGGATGATATGTTACGTGTTTTTTTCGCTCAAGATTTCTTATTTTTATTTTTCGAGAATTATTGTATCTTCATTCACCTCGTCCTCGTTGAGCCCTATTGAATCACCAGAACTTGGACCCTGTTCGATCCGATAGTATGCCCAAGTGGCCATAATTCTGTAGAGGCAAGAACGCCGAAACTTCACGTGAATGACAGCATCCAGCCATCCATCGCAACATCTACGGTAAAATATCCCTGCACGAACAGCTTCGACTTCGACAGCAGGCAGAAAAGCACCTTCGAACCCGTTGACTCGTGCCCTTCAGAAATAGGCATCGTGTGCATGGTGGCTGCATGTTCGACGACCAGTAAATAATCCTGTTACGAGCCAAGAGGAGGTGTGGACATGCAGTTTTTCCGTTCACGCGGGAAGTTGTGCTCGGCGGACTTTGCTGCGCGCTATGACTGGCAGAGATAAAGGTACTTCAATGGACTTGGATAATAGTAGCAAGTGAGGTGAACAAATGCACTGACCTGGGCCCA